GGTATTTAATTTTTTAATTCTTTTAAATCCAATTAAATAATTAAATAACTAAATATTTATTTATTTAATTATTTAATTGGAAAAAAATAGGAAATCCAATTAAATAATTAAATAACTAAATATTTGTTTATTTAATTATTTAATTGAAAAAGAAAAGGAAATCCAATTAACTAATTAAATGATTAAATATTTATTTATTTAATTATTTAATTGTTTTAATTGTTTTGATTATTTAAATACCGGTAAGTCTTCTATTCACTTTCTTTTTGTTTTCCTTGGTATTTAATTCTTTAATTCTTTTAATTCCAATTCAATAATTAAATAATTAAATATCTATTTATTTAATTATTTAATTGGAACAGAACAGGAAATCCAATTAAATAATTAAATAACTAAATATTTATTTATTTAATTATTTAATTGAAAAAGAAAAGGAAATTCAATTAAATAATTATTGTTTTAATTATTTAAATACCGGTAAGTCTTCTATTCCCTTTCTTTTTGTTTTCCTTGGTATTTAATTGTTTCATTCTTTTAACTCCAATTATATAATTGAATAAGTAAAATACTTAAATATTTATTTAACTATTTAATTGGAAAAGAAAAGGACATCCAATTAAATAACTAAATAATTAAACATTTATTGATTTAAATATTTATTTGGAAAGGAAAAGGAAATCACAATAGATATTTAAATACGAGAAGTCCATGTACAAAGAAGCAGACCTCCCAAAGACTACTTGGGAAAACACACAAAAATATTCAATTCTACACACTCACATAGTCAATATAGATACGCAACTTTCGTGTGAAGCAATCATGGCGATCTGTTCATGTTTTCTTTTGATCCAATGTTCTGTCTCAGTGTCAGCTTTGCTCCCTCGAAGAATCATGGTTGTGGGAACACTATCTTCACTCCACCTAACTATAAATCTTCGGTACGGAGTGTCGCTGCGCATGTCATAACCATCCTCCAGCTCAGCGCACAAAGTCTCCCAAAATGATGCCCCCCAAATGAACCATGGTCAAGACTGGAGATTCTCAACCACTACAAGGGAATGGTCATCCATTGAATCATAGGGATTTATAATATATGCACTGAAGTCAGCATTCCCAAGAAAAAGATGGGACAACCATACCAACCAAACACCGGTCGTGCACGGACCATGCAGGCGTCGTTTGGCACGGGTTTGGTCACATGTTTTAGTCAAAAATCCATCGTTTTTGGAGACCCTCTACGACTCTACATTGATCCTTCGGGTCCGAACTGGACAGGGTTCAGGTGCATCAACCGAACTCGGACGCATGTACCGGCCTTTGAAGTTCACAGTGACGAACTCGCAATTCAGAGACCGAGGATAGTGGAGGGGGGGAAAGATGGACTGGGAGTTCATATGAGCCATAGCCATCGAGAGAAACCCTTTTGACACACCATGGCTATTCGAAAGATTCTGGCTCAGTGGCACTGTGTGACTCAGCCTGGATCCACCATGGCACGAAGGACTGCTCCGCGGTACA